TATTGCTATTGCAATTTTAAATTCCACAAGAGTAGAGATTTAGGGACTCTTGTTCATCTTCTCTATTATTTCCTCATGCCAAAAACCATTCCTGACACATGACCAATCAAATATAAAAAACAAATGTCCTATATGTAAGCTAGTAAATATTAGAAGTGATATGATATTTAAAGTAATTTTCATAATTTTAAATTAAAAATATTTAGCAAAACAAGGTTTAAGGTTAGGTGGAAAGAAAGAAAACAGAAAAGACAAGCAGCATTGCCTGAAGTGACACTGTCTCTGAAATCTACAGTAGATAAGATCACCTGGGATGGAAAATTCACAGCTAGACCAAACTTTGGCAACTCTAGAACAAGAGAAGGAGAGATACTCTGAAACAGTATTTTTGCTTGGTGTCCCATTTATCCACAATCCATGGAGAATGCCAGTAGGCAGACAGAACAGGCAAGAGCAGAAATGATGCCTATGAAGTCCCAGCTGATGTAGCCAGACATGAGACAGAGAATCTGAGAAGTCCAAAAACAGACAGCAGGTACTCAAACCTGGAAATAAGGCAAAGTGAGAGAAATCCAAGTTTGACTGCCTGAAACCACAGGGTCTAAGAGCTGATTACTTAAAAGGTTCCAGCCTTAAGTCCAGGCTATGGATGCCTGCAGCACAGACAGCACCAGAGGGCTGATGAGAAAGAGAACTCTCGATTTTCTTTTTGTAAATAGAGAGGAAAATGAGATAAGATCCTCTTACATCAACTCCTACTATAACAGATTAATAACCAAAGAACTCAACACAAAGAGGTGGGATTCAGAATTAATACTGCTGCTCTGAGCAAAAATCAAGCAGTAAACAATAAAGATTTCAAAATTAAAACAAAAAAGCTGATATTCTAATTTAACCTTCAAAAATAAAGATGATCTAAAGTGCGTGAACCGAGAATTCCATTCCACCTCAACACCCTGTACCTCTGAGTTATTATGAGAACAGACTGCAATGCAATTCAACTCATGTTCCAAAATGCAACAAGCAGCTTCAACAGGACATGCTGAAAGAAGCAGCATGTCCCCTCCTCTCCAGGTTTACTGATTCATATTTTGGTAGCAAGGTTACAATTAGCTCACCGGTGAAGAATAAACCTATTTATAACACAGCAGTCCCCCTGAAAGATACAATCATCTAAAAAGGTTTTTAGAGGAAAATAAAGTGCAATTTCTTCTTGTACTGACTGCAGATTCCCAAGGTCCTTTCAGATGAAGTCCTCAGTCTAACCTTCCTGTGTTCACAGTCACCATTCTGGCCACCTCTCAGCCTCCATGTTCTTATGTAACATTTACATAGTGCCATAAACATATCCAGAATTGCATAACATTGCCAAACCAATAAAGCCTAAAGCAGGTCACTCTCTCCAGACTGTCTTTGATTAGCACAGGTATGCTGCCTGGTTTATGAAGTAAATGCCTACCAAAACCAGAAATTAACTTGAGGAAATCTGAAAGGAGCCTACAAAAAAAGCACAATTAAGAAGAAATTAACAGTGTAACATGTGGTGCACCTATCAATCACAGAGTATGTATTCTGCCCCATAGAATAAAAAGTAACCCAACATTGCTTATTCACTGAAGTCAGAAACTGTGTCTAAAAATACCTCCCTGCCAACTGGCTATCAGTAAGTCAGTCTCACGAATGTCCCAATAAGAGCAACACAGAATATTTTTCTGACTTTTCAGAGGAAAATTGAGGCAGTAACAGAAAGGTTAAGTTACTTGTCAAGGACAACCTGTAAGGAAGCAAAGTGCTGGGGCAGAAAACCAACCTCCTCCCTGCATCTGCTTCTAACCTTTAACCAGGAGTAGCCATTTTAATTGCTTTATCACATCTGTTCCAGGAGCTGTTTCAACAAAATTTATCAGAGATTCTCTTTTCCTCTACAGGAGTTCACTTCCACAGTACCTCACATCCATATCCATTCAACAAAATTACAAGACTTGGCTTGAAATAAAAATTATTTTAGAAACTCAAAAATATTCCTATCATAACCTCAAATGCCTCTTTTGTTGCTTTTATCCTAAGAAATGATTGTCATGTTCTTCTGCTACAACTCAACTTTACATTTTTAAATACCAATGTGAACATTGCTAAGCTAGGTCTTAAAACACAGTATACCTAACAAATGGCTACTGTTTCTAGCCTTAAACTCATTCTCCTTATCACTGGTCTTTTACTACTCCCAGTAAAAGACTAATAGAAATTAACTAATTAATTCATTAACTAATAGAAACACCTATCCCTTACTGTCCTCACATTATGTTCGAGTACCAGGCATTAGAGCTGCTGGGCTCTTATCACTTCTCTAGCCAATGTAGGGGAGCACTATATAGGAAATCAGGGAAGGGGAAAAAAAACATCAACTTCTTGTTATCCCATAGCTTCTATTTTCCCAGAACTGACGTTTTACTTTAAGCCTTTTGCAACAGTGGTCTCTCTAGCATGCACTATTGGCAACTAGATGTGTCCCGGAAAAAACTGTAGTGTCTGGCCAAGAAGTTTAAAGGCCTTTGAGAATGTTTGTTGGACACACAACTTAATTTCCCATATACTAAAAAAAGAAACCGATTCCCTATTATGACCACCCACCCTCACCCCAACAAACATCCTTTTTTAGGAAGGTTACAAAAAAATGAACTCTGCACCATTCAAAACCAGTTGGATTATCAATTAAACATTCTTAACTTAGCTCACAAGACAAACCCCACAAACACCACACCAAATGGGCAGAGAAATGACTGTTTAAAATCTTGGCTACATTAAGGGCAGAATAAAAATTCCTATTTGAAGGACTTAAAGATTTATTCACATACACATAAGAAACCTGAAGGGTGAACCTTATTTTTACAACCCTACTAGAGAAATAAAATTGTATTACACATTCCAAAAACATGGCCCATAATAAGACCCCATGAACATCCTTATTTATGAAAATCATTATCTCACCACAAATGTCAGGCTCTGTTCCTACATCTTCAGCATGTTTATCAGACCTCACAGAGCAGTTACCTATGCCACAGCGCAGCAATACCGAGGAAGACACACACAAGGTACCTAACAGAAGCATTAACCAGTGAACAAAGACCTCACTGCATAGGCTACACCACTGGGAACAAATATCAAAGCCGAAGATAATAAACTTGTTTTTGAGACTCCAAAGTGGCATAGTGTCTTTCTTCATGTTCTGCTTTATTAAGGAAGCCTGGATCCACCTGAGAATTGTTTTTAGTTGCCAGAAGAGCCCAAGAACACACACTTGATCTCCCATTGCTGGAAGGTTAGGGGCTTCTAAGTCAAAGCAGCAGGCTTTGTACATGGGAGCAAATACAATCCTGATAGTCTCTCCCAGATCCATCTGTGGGTCAATAATCACTTCAATATAACTGCCAAATATAACCTTCATCTGCAGACCCAATGCCAAAACACATTTGAGAGGACTCTCGCAAATGAAATATTTTAGGGTTTCATCAGCTCTTTTCAGTCCCCAAAGCCTCATAAACAACACATCCAGTGGAATGTCCCACAGAAAGGTCCCCACCTCTGTATGGGAAGGGTGTCGGGGAAGATCAGGCGAGCAGAAGGCTGTGGGGGTCGGAAGGTAAGGAGTGTGTGAGGGTGGGGGAGGGCCGGGAAGAGGGTTTGTGGGCGAAGGTAAATAAGTACTGACCAAGGGCCAGGGAGACGGTCCAGTGGTGGGATCTTTAAATAATCTTGGGGGTTGGACGCAGGTTCTAGGATATCACCTGAAAGGCATCCACAAAGTGATTAACTAAATGGGCCCCCCTGGGGTGGGGTGGGGTGGGATGGGGGAGATGGGAGGAAAGCAAATACACCTAGATTCAGATTAACCGCCCGGGAACTAGTTTTCATAGGGTTAGAGAGATTCCAAAGCCAAGCTCCAAAAAGGTTGCGGGGCCTGCTCGTCCCACTTCCTGAGGCATGTGCATCGGAGGTGGGGGGTTTGCCCCGCAGAACACAGGGGGCTGAGCGAAGGGGAAATGTGACTCCCGTTCCCAGAACATCAGGGAGGCAAGGGAGGAAAGGTAGAGACACGCCAAGTGCAGAAGCTGAAGGGAAGGTTAGAGACCCCCTTCCCCTATAGCCTGGGGTGCGCGAGAGCTCTCATCAGGATACCTAAGAGAAGCAAGACCCCATTACCGAACCCCACAATCTTGGCGGGAGAAAAGGCGCCCCCAGGAGCATCTGGTGGGTAGGAATAAAGCCCCCCCGTTTCTGGACGTGCTTAAGGGCAAAAACCAGAGACCTCTCCCAATCTTAAGGAAGCTGGGACTCCCCTCTATGGAACACGGGGGTGCGGGGAGCGCAAGCCCCTGGAGCTCCCCGAATTCAGTTCCGCTTGGAAGAGGGCTTGGGTCCCCAGGGGCCCGGCGTGAGCTCGGGTGGCCTCTGGGCGGCCGCGCCTCGGAGGTCGGGCAAGCAGACTGAGGGTCACCCCGACTCCTCCGCGCCCCCCGCCC